ATCACATACTATCACATAATCATAATCTGTCTAGCATAGCTGGGTACTAAATTACCCCTTCGGCCCTATCGGCCGGTAACTTGGGGACTATCTCCCCTACTACTACCACTATCACATAACATCATATTACGCTAGCACATAAAACATAACAGGTAGCAGCAAACCCAGATGAATATCACAAAGACAATGATATAGCATACAACTCCTACTAGTGGGCCGGCATTGTGGCCGTAGACCCACTGCTACTGGAAGGTAACTCACCTCACTGTCGCGTAGTGTCTGCATGATCTCGGTGTGGAAATCGACTCTCCCCGACTCCTCAATCCCTACACGACAACCCTTCTAAGTTATCAACTCGTACTCGTAACCCTTACAATGGTCACTCAATCCCAATCAATGTCAAGGTCAAATCCATGGTCAAAGTCAACTTTTGGTCCAAGTCAACATCTGGTTGACTCGACTCGCCGAGTTGGCCCGCCAACTCGTCGAGTCCCCATAACCACAACATGCCATAATCTCGTCCCTACTCGTCGAGTCTAGCAAGAGCTCGACGAGTTCGCCTTAAACAATACATCTGACAATCTTCAACCGACTCGTCGTGTTCATTCTTGAACTCGCCGAGTTCATCTTCATCCATAAGAAGATGTTCAGTCTATGACTCGTCGAGTTCCCATTGAACACGCCGAGTCTGTCTTCATAAGTTGGTAGATTTCCTTGGACTCGCCGCGTCTGTTCATACACTCGTCGAGTCCCATGATTTCCAGGTCCAAAACAAACCCCTAGCAGGCTGGCTGTTCCTTCCACTCAACCAGAACCATTTCCAGGAGACGTTTTTGGGGAAAAAGCGTCCCGACTCACCGAGTCACCCAAGTGACTCGCCGAGTCCCTCTTTATCCAAGACTACACAGTCGATTTCAGTAGGTCTTAATGCATCCCAATCATAGATCTGACCTCCTAGGGTCCCTTTTATATGTAAAGCTACGAACTTGATGTCTATGCATGGGGTTTTTGGCTCAAAAGGCTATAAAATGGGGTTTATATGATGCATGGCCTTCCCGTGGCCATAAAGTTGGCACCTTTATGCCATAGGAACCCTCAATGGTTCCAGATCTGAAGTGCAACCCCAGATAGACGTACCAATCTGAGTATAGCCCCTCAAAAGCTTAGAAAAGGTTGAAAAATAGCCCCAAAAAAAGATATAGGAGATAGATGGTCAAGGTTCAAGCCTTTTACCTTGAGTGAACTGAGAATGAAGCAAAACCTATGGATCTTCTTGCTTCCTCTTGATCTCCCAAGCTCCTTTCTTCTTCTCAAACTTTAATCACACAACAAATGTCACCACAAAGCTCAAGCACACTCAATAATGGTTTAGGGTTTCAATCTAGGGTTTCTTTGAGTTGGGAGGGTGATGGAGGCTGGTTTGGGACAAGATAAAGTGTTTAAATAGGGTGCAAACCCTAAATATTAGGGTTTTGTCCAGACAGCTCCTACTCGTCGAGTCGGTCTCCCGACTCGTCGAGTAGGTCACTTAAACCCCCGATCAAAAGTCGAGTCTACTCGATGAGTTGGGCCTCCAACTCGCCGAGTCCCAGAGTAAATTGCAACATTTCAATGAAATTAAATACGTACCAGAAATCGGGTGCTACACAATTTCTCATGACACAGAAAATATAGGATTTTCTGGGAATCACTCTCTATACATTTTTCAAACAAGATAAAACAAGGGTACACATGCTATAATACAAGATTTGAAACAAAACTCACAAACTATTTTTATAGAAAATACCGGATTTTCTGGAGTTTTCAAACCAACGTAAAGTTTTCATATAAACATGCTTATGAACTCACCCACATTTTATATGTTGACGCTTTTCAAAATAACTTGTATTCTCAGGAACTCATTAAGCAGGTTAGCAACTTTGGACTTTTGGGAATTTGTTGTATTTCGTTTTCACCATACTCTTGTTAATTTTTGGGATGTAATTTATGAATGGATACAACGACACAAACCATGTATGTTGTTATATTTTATGTATGGCGATGATGATTGTCTATGTTTCATTTATATACACTTGTTATGATATTACAAGATGAAGTCATTCGCCCCCGGACGTTTCCGCCGTTCTAGTTCGGGGGTGTGACATCTAGCCCTAATTTCTGAAATACCTATCCTATCCTCTAGCATGCAGCTCTAATATCTGATAAGTATCTCATAATATAAACAAATAATGGTATATTGGGAAATCATCGTTTGGGCTATGGCTGATTGTACACACTGCAAAGTCTTGTTTTCTCTTTAAAACTCTTACTCGTCTTAGAAAAATCGTTTCTTTTTAGAAAATTTTCTCAAATCCTCAGTTTGAGTCCAGACATACCCGAAAGTACATCTGAATCCCTCAAACCAAGGCTCTGATACCAACTTGTAACACCCTAAATTTTCAAACAAAATTTTCATTTTTAAAACCACATAAAACCCAATATCACATTTCTCAAAACCCAAATGTATAAGTTATTCAAAACACAAGACCACAAAATGTTTGATAATATCCCAGAATCCTCAAAAACATAATCTCTAACAGGTGTGTACAATCAAGACGGCGCCTTCCCGCGATCCTAAGAGGTACCTGAAACACATATCACACAACACTGTAAGCACGAAGTTTAGTGAGTTTTCCAAAATACCACACGCAAATAATTAGCCTATCATGGCTATATCTCGATAAGGACCCTCCGGTCCATGTGTTCTAGTGAGGACACTTCGGTCTCACAACTCGGGTTGCACCCTCCGGTCCTAACCAATAAAGCACAGAATAATATACAACATAAATCACAAAGACAAATGCATGATATCACATAATTCATTATAAGCATATAAGACCCTCCGGCCACACAGTATTACCACTCAGGCAAGTATAGTGAGAAGACTCACCTCGTAAGTAAGCAAGTAGGTCTCGTACTCGATGATCGGTCTAGACTCCGCCTACATATCATAATCATCTCTAATTAACACTTAATAATAACAACCCTAAAATTTTAGGCTATCCCTTTTCTATCTCTCGGAAAGGGTGAAAGACCATTTTACCTCTCCATGGTCTCCATAACTCATGTCTTGACCAACCCTAAAAGTTAACGGAAGTCAACACTCGAGTCAACAGTCCATGTTAACCTAACTCGCCGAGTGCATCTATGCGACCCGTCGAGTCCCTCCTGTTCTCAAAAAATCGGGAAAACTCCAACTTAACTCGCCGAGTTGTCTCATCAACTCGTCGAGTTTGCACGTGTCCAGACTATAGGGGAAAACCCTAACCGACTCGTCGAGTTGGCTCATCCACTCGTCGAGTCCCTTAAGTCCATTTCCCATTCAGACGATTTTAAGCAGAACTAAAGCCCCATACTCTAGATCTAGCCGCCCAAGGCTGAAATACCATGTAAAGCTACAAGCTTTACGTCCATGCATGTCACCTAGGGCTCAAAATGCCAAAACAAAGCTCTATAGAGGGTTTAATGTCTGAAACTTGGCCAATAGCTTGATAAAGCTTGAATCTTTAGGCCCAAGGGACCTCATACTGCCCAGATCTGAAGTTTCAACTTCATTGCATGCTCAAACAACTCAAAGTCTCAAAAGAAAGATGGAAATGGTCACAAATTCCCTAAAGAAGAGATCTAACCAAACAATAATCAAGGTGATAGCTTTTTACAACCAAATAGCAGCTACCACTGAAAGAACACTGGATCCAAGGGCTTCTTCTCGTTCCAATCCTTATGCTCTTCTATCTCCTTCCAAGAATGCACTAAATCACATACTTTTAGTCTCTCTCTCTCTCTCTCTCTCTTTCTCTCTCTCTCTCTCTCTCCCTCTCACAAATGATACCAGCTCGTTTAGGGTTTCTCTCAGGGTATCAAGATGGTAAGGGAGGCGGAAATGAAGGCTTAAGGTCCTTTAAATAGGGCACAAACCCTGAAAATTAGGGTTTTCACACTCAACTCCTACTCGTCGAGTTGGGGTCCTCTAACTCGTCGAGTAGACTCTAAAAATCACGCGGCCATTTAATTCTCTACTCGGCGAGTTGGGGCCTCCAACTCGTCGAGTTGCACTGACAACATGAATATAAATTAATTAAATATTATACCTGGGAGTCGGGATGTTACATAGATTATCTTTAATAGCAACGTACTTTTGTTAGTTTATTTATAACATTCTATTTTCACTTATTTTTCATATTTATGGTATATATAGCATCTTATTTTTTTGAATTATAGCATTGTACTTTAATATTAATTTGTTTTTTTTTTCTATTATAGCATCGTACTTTTATTATTTTGTTTTCTGTTATAACTATAAAAAAGAAATGAAAATAGAATGCTTTAATAAACAAACTAATAAAAGTACGTTGCTATTAATAACCTTTGTAGTTAGATTATCTTTAATAGCAACATACTTTTATTAGTTTCTTTATAGTATATATAACATCTTTTTTTCAATTATAGCATTATACTTCAAATATGATTTTGTTTTTTGTTTTCAGTTATAGCATTGTACTTTATATATTATTATTTTTTATTAGTTTGTTTATTAAACACATTCTATTTCACTTCTTTTTTATATTGATAGTATTTTCAGCATCTTATTTTTGTTTTTTTTTCAATTATAGCATTGTACTTTAAATATTTTGTTTTTTTCTATTGTGACAATTTACTTTTGTTTTTTTCAATTATAACATTGTAATTTAAACAATCATATTACCTAATTAAATACAAAAACTTTAACTTATCACTAAACACTTATCATGAATTTAAAGACAAACACTTTAAATTACCAATTAAGCACTTTATCACTTCATGCACTCAAATTAATAAACCTAAACAAGCAACACAAACATACATATTTTAAATTTTATACATACAATTTCATATCAACCTAAACTAGTAGCACAATCATACAATTTCATATAACATTTCATATCAACATACAACTTCATATAACATTTTATACACAATTTCAATTTCATATAAACCTAAACAAGTAAATTGACACTTTATACATACAATCAATATCAATTTCATATAAACCTAAACAAATGACACAATCATACAAAGACCAACAAGTAACATAATCATACAATCATACAAGGACCAATTTCAATTTCATATAAACCTATACATACAATTTCAATTTCAACAAAAATTAGAAAACAAGAAGGAAAAAAAAAACTAGCTGGTTCTGTTCTTCTTGCTGTGATGGCCGGATTCCGGTGGTCGGATTTGATGGTGGTCCTCTGGTGGTGGCTGGTGGTCACAAAAAAAACACAAAATCAGAAAAGAGAAAAATAGGGAAAAAACACTCCATCCTTACCTGCTGTGGCGAAGAAGAGAAGCTAGAAGGAGTCACCAATTGTCGAAGGTGGTGAAGGAACGACGATGGTGAAGGAACGATAGTGGTGAACGACTTCACAACCAAAAAGAAATAACCCCTAAATTTGGAGTTAAAAAGTTGAGCAATCACTAATTTGGAGTTAAGAAGTTGAGCAATCACTAACAAAGAAGAAAACAATGCCCAAAAATGTACTTGTTGCTCGTCGTCGGTGGTGAAGGGTCGATATTCGTCGCTGCAAACCAAGAGAGAAAGAGGGATGTCGTCCGCTGCAAATGAACGATACACTGGTGTCTTCTTTTAGGCTAAAACCATATGCAGACGACAAGTCGTCGGTATAGGGTTTACATAACGACGTTGTTTCATTTGTTTGCCGAAATAAAATTAAAAAAAGTTGAGCTGACGACAAGTCGTCGCAATAGCTATTTCACGCGGATAGTAAAAAAAACTACGTCGTTTCGATTTTCTGCACCATGGAATAAAAAATAAATGAAAATACAATTTGTCGTAACCTTTACCGACGATATGTCGTCAGCACGGTTTTCAGAATCCCACCGTATCTGTCGCGACGACTCGGAGTCGACACAAATTTCCAAGTCAAACAATCCTGGTCAAAGTTGGCAAAAACGATGACGACGACATAGCCTGTTATTCTAGTAGTGTGTGTTAATCGCATAAAATAATGATGACATAACTTAATATTAAATTTTGATAGTAAATCGTATATAAAAACAATTTTAACATGCAATGCTTATAAAAAATACTAGATATAAACATAAATAATATTTTATTATTGTATAAAATACTTTCCTTTAAATATAAAAAATAAAAAGACCACTTACATATAAAAAATAAAGTGAAATTGCAATTCGACATTTTAGGAAGCTAAAAGATAAACTATAACATACATTTTTTTTACATTTAACACTATAGATGTAATATATATTGAAAAATATACATAATGTTTTTTTTTTTTTTCATAGACCAATGGAATGAGTTGATAATTGTGTAAGCGTATCTACTATAATATATAGATATAGTTTGTGATAAAACCTAAATCCTCCAATGAAGCAACCGAGGAACGCCATCAAGGGCCTTAGAGAAGGAATATTGCCCGTATTCATGGAAGGTGGTTTCTCTGTACCTCGGTGGGTTCTCATCGGAAACCAGCTCCGGCAATGGTCCCAACACCTTCTTCGACGGCGCTAAGGAGGTTCCGAAGAAACACGCCACCGACACTCTCGGCCCTTTCTCATTTGCCACCACTCTATGCTCCACACTTTTCAATTTATCATTCGATAAAATCTGCAAAACCCTAAAAAAAGTTACACTCCAGTTTGGTTTTTCAGATTCAAGATCAATTGTCGGATGTTATATAGCTAAGCAAACTTGCCTGTAATAGATCTCCGATATTGATCACAAGCGCACCAGGTATTGAAGGAACATCAATCCATTGATTTTGATGGAGAATTTGGAGTCCCCCAATTTCATCTTGTAGAAGCACTGTTAGAAAACCACCGTCTGTGTGTTTGGTTGTACCCATTGTTAGATCTGGTTGTGGACAAGCAGGATAACAATGGCCGGCGATTGAAAGCCCTTTGTCAAAATCCAGATCTCCGAGGTGATTATCGTTCAGCCCCAAGGCTTCTGAGATCAATCGGAAGAGTAACCCGCCTAGTTTCAGCACATGATTTGAATACTCGATTTGAATGTCTCTGCAAACCTCCGGTAGTTCCTCAGGCGGCGGAGGAGACGGAGCCATAAAGGAAAAGACGGTGTCCCTCCAGTTCGCGGCGGGGGAACTATACAGATCAAAGTTGCTATTATACACTACTGTTCTCGAAAGATCCCTCGTGTAAAACTGTTTCTTCACCTCCGCATCTTGTTCGTGAAATCTACGAACTCCTTGAAGCATCTCGTCCATAACAGTCACAGGGATCCCGTGATTCACCACTTGAAAGAAACCTAGATTCTCCGACGCCGCACGGATCTTCTCTACCGTCGATGCTCTATCGGTTGATCCAAGGTCTACGACTGGAATCTCGAAAATTGTGGAGGTTTTGGGGGAGGTTTCCGGTGGGTGGATGAAGATGCGAGGGATTTGTCGGATTCCGGCATCGACGAGGCCTTTGACGCCGGTTTTTGTTTGGTCGAAAGCTTTGAGCTCCGTTGGTCGATCGTAGCCTGAGATGACTGAAGTGGTGGTGGCCGCCATTTTTGTGAAGATAATCGTATGATGTCATGTAGATAATATGCTGCCACCCATTCATTCTTGCAAAGTTGACTCAAATGCTATTACTAAAAAAGTTCAATAGTAGTAAAAGTCAAAGTTAACTCAAACTCGATCTCTTTTTTAGTATATATGTATATACTAACATATTTGTTGTAAACAAATATGATGTCGTGTGACTTTAAACTCATCTTAAAACACCAAAATCTTGGCGAAAGGAACAATGTGTTTGACGATAATATACCCTAAATGAGCAATGTAAACACTAAATTGTAACCAGAAAGATCCAACGTAGCTACATTCTTGTTCCTAGTACGATTTTAAGGAAAAAGTGAGCATGAAGGTAATCTTTAACTACATGGCAATTGTAAAATGTTTTACCTCTTTGTATCTTGATAGATAAGTCTTCGGGGCATCAATGTAATCTTCAAAACACAATTTAGCCATTGCCCAAAGCAAATCATCACCATTAATTGTCTTCATCTTCTCTTTCTGACACTTATCATTGGTCTTGCTAGTAATGAAACTGATGAACTCAGAAACGTATTCCTGAACAGTGCCTTTAGAGACTTTGAGGGGATGAATGTAATCCTTAAATGCCTTTAAATCACCTATGGGTTGAAAGTTAGCTTCTTTAAATCAAGGTTGTTTGGAATTGGCACTTCTCAGGTGGAATTAGAAGCCACTATTCGTGTTCTAGGATGCTTGGAGGGTGTGTTTCCATTTGGGAGTACCTATAGGAGCAAACATGAGTCTCAAAAAGAACTGGAAACCAATTCTTCATAAATCTCATTCTAACATTTCGACTTGAAAGCCAATTCATTATCTTTCAGTAGAAGACTCACCCTCATTAAATTCGTCCTTGGTAGTCTTTCGACATATTACATGTCCCTTTTCAAAGCACCACAGGGCATAATTGATTCTCTCGAAAAGATTAGGCGAAAGTTTTTGTAGGGAGGTTGTGATCTCAAAAACAAAATTCATTAGGTTGATTGGTCAAAGATCATTACTCCTAAATCAGATGTTGGGCAAGGAGTTGGCACACTTCAAGCTCAAAACCTTGTCCTTTTAACTAAGTGGTAGTGGAGGCTATTGAATGGAAAACGATACTACGTAGAAGACTGTCATTACGAGCATACACAACCTCCATAGAAACCAACTTCTTACATTGCCAGAAAAACATCATGTGTCGTTTGGTCCAATATTTCCAAAGTTATTGACTCCTTGATCGATCTCTACATTTGATTGGTTTTACATGTAATAACATGGATAAATCCTTAACACTTAAGGGTACATGCAACCTAAAGAATTAAGCCATAACATTATTGAAGTAAGATTCTATTGAACAGCAAGAACCCTATGAACCCTATGCTAATTTCGAAAATAATAAACATGTTTGGGTTTACATACATTTTAGTTATTGTAGTAAATAACTAATCAAAACCTTCTTGAAATACTCTTAGAAGAAAGAACCACAAGTGTCGTGCCTCTGATCGTTCACACCCAAACCCTAGCAACCAAGGAGACTTGAAGAGAGAAGAGAGAGGAGGTAATTTTTGAATTTGAGGCTCTTGAAGTCATTATCCGAAAATCTAAACCCTTATGGGTTTATATAAGTGACTAAGAAGGTATTAGATAAGGCAGTTTCCCATGATAATTATTTATCCCTTTTCTTCTTCCCTAAGGTATCCAAGACTACTTAATGCCCAAGGAAAACCATAGAAGACTTTCTAGAATTCGTCCCCCACCTAGGGAGGTTCTAGAATTGCTTAATGTTCAACTTTTAAACATTGTCACCTTTAGTCCTTCTACTTTTTATTAATCCAGTTAATCCAAAAATTAATTCTAAGTAATTTCTGATTAATTCTTAATTAAACAATACTATTTATAATTAATATATTTATTTTCATAATATATTAATAAATCATTTATTGCTATTATTAATCATATAATAAATCAATAAATCAGTCTCTCTCTCTCTCTCTCCCTCTCTCTCTCTCTCTCTCTCTCTCTCTCTCTGAAAGTCATCATATTCAATTACTAGGTTTGAGGGCAACCCAAAAGGACGTTGTTAATAATTCAAATATATACCAATTTAGTCATTGGCTTAGACACCTAATCCAAAAATCTTCTACTTGGATAAGTCTATAACTACAATTGCCAATATAACTTCTAAATTATCAACAAAGGGTGCTTCCCATAGCAACTCCAGTCTCTGATATAATCAGACATTAGTCCTAAGATAAGTGATCAAATATTCATTTGTTCTACCAAGATATCAATATGGACACGAGACATGGATTAAAATCAATGTCATTGTCCAAAATTATGTTTCCCGATTTCCTGATTTATGACCACTAAATTCAGACTACTAATTGAACACATCAATTTAGTCCAGGCTCGGTCGAGCACTTCAGATGTCGACATCAAATCATCAAGGGGCCCAAAGATATCGCTTTTCCCGTTAGGGCAAAAGGAACAAATAAAATTTGACTTATATGCTTGTATATTTTACTCATCAAATCATGCATGACATTATGTTTTATAACATCATGTTACTGACGCGTTTACATAACACCAATACATAATCGATTTGTAAATTACAACTCATATATCTCCATTTCAAGAATATAAGATTTTATCGTCTCAGAATTACTTGTGATAGAATCCTTGAAGTAATTCTTTGAGCGTGGGTTTATCCAATACTTAAAATCTCCATTTCTAAGTACTCATGAACATTGTAGCAATCTTATTGTAATGTCTAATCCTAATAGACAATCTTACAATTCAATTTATGAATGTCTTAACTCATTACTTACTTCCAAAAGTATGATCGACTGTGGAGTTTCGAATAATCAAATTATTCAGGAAGTAAAACATGCAAAGTGAAACACAATAACAAACCAATTAACTACGGTTTCAAACTTATTGAAAATAAATAAATCTCTATTATTTAATCACCATAATAATTACGACTTTATTCATTGTAAAATGTTTCAAGTAATCAAATAACCACTTGAATTAAATAACATTAGTCATGCCATGTTATGAAAATGTGTACTATGTCTCTCTATGGTCATTCCTTTGTGAATAGATCAACTGGACACTATTCCAATAATGCTCATTTCACAATTCCAAATTCTTGTCACTGTCTAAAATGTATTGTAATTTCAACCTTACATGCATTGACCTTCTGTGATGTCGAGGCTTCAAAGTCATAGAGACTGAGCCAACGATATTATAGAATATCCTATTGGAACTTTGCTCTTAGAAACAGTTCTATGGTAATGAATGTTCTAATTCAAGGTATACTCCTTGAATACTTCTCTTACATTAAAGTTTCCAACTCACTTGTAGACTTTTCAAGTATCTCCTATTGTGGAAACATTTCCATATTTCCATACGACCATAAATTTTGACCAAGAATCATGTGAAATCTAAAACATGTCACTATGGTCCGTCCAAATAAACATCATACTTCTAACTGTCCACAAGCTACCAGTCTTTTGGTATAACTTTAGAATGTTCTTGAAAGTCGTTTAATAACTTTAGTCACACAAAATTCTAGTCCTTTTTCCTCTCAATTCTCAAGGCATTAAAAAAAACCAGAATACGTGAATATTACATCATATGTAATCGATCATATATCCGAAGCATATGAGACTCGATTCATTATATTCGATATATGTTCAATCTCTTGCTATAATATTTTCATATATGGATTTTTCTATGTTGAACTATTTCAACATGATATTCACATGTCTATGACGAAGTTCCATTAAACTATGCAATCTAAACCTTTAGATTTGAAAAGAAGTATGAGTGCCCTCTCCATTAAGCCTACTATATCGAAACAATTCCTAAACGTTGCAATTTGCAAATTCGAAACATTATTTCCCATGAATAGTATTGTCAACATGCAATACTAGCATAACAATTATGCTCCCACTAGCTTTGACATGTCTCCAACTATACTTATTAAGCACATACACCTTAATTGGATAGCATATGTGTATGCTTGAACCCTTTCAGAACTTATAGATATATGTCATGAAAGTTCAAACAATTCCTTGACATTCCTCACAATTCGAAATATGAAAAGGGATGCCGTAATGATATTATGAATTTGAGAATGCAATTAACATAGCCAATATCTATATTGATCATTATCAGATCTTTAAAATCTACTAGCGAAAGTGTTTCCTAATAATCATTCTCATGAATTAGTGCGGAAACCTTGCCACCTAGATTTTATTGTGCATACATTCCCATTCATGTGAATCTATCATTTACAACCTACAATCATAAGACAAGGTTTAGGACAAAAAAATAAATTCAAATTTAGTTTTCCTTCATGGACTGAACTTCGCTATTCTAAATTTCTTTCCCTCTGGAAGCTCATGGGCCTACCAATGCTTCCATGTTGTTAGCAGCTCACCCATATTGATCAATGTATATTCACCAACCAATGTGCTTTTCTTTTGCAGTTAAATGAAAAAACAGAGAACTCATAAGCATTGCCAACTCAACTAGAAGTACATAGAAATAAGAATGTGTCAATCAAACACAACTAGTTATCAACCTCAAGTTGTGTGCTAGTGTTAACTAAAAGGTTTATTGTCGATTGACTCTTGAAACTCTCAAGATCAATACGACTCCCACAGACTTCTTGACATATTAGTTTTTTTCTCAAGGAACATTCCTTGACAAGCTTAAAAAAATATTCAAAAGTTCGTGTGTATTCCCGACAAGAAAACACTTCATATAATGGGTCTTAGTTTATCCTTTTTTTCTCAATTAACAAAAAATATCACAACTCCAATTCTATATGTGCTAGAGTAAGAAAACATCTTTACTACACATATTTCAAGGTGTTTTCAACCTTCTTAGTTAGAAATGAATTTCAAGATACGATTTGTAGTAACTAGAGTATGACTCTAAAACTTGATTGGAAAAGAAGTATGATTCATCTCTTGATTGAACTATTTCAACAATATCCGATTCCTCTTCTTGGTCATACAATTGTACTAAGATGTTCTTGATTCATCTCTTGATTGAACTATTTCAACAATATCCGATTCCTCTTCTTGGTCATACAATTGTACTAAGATGTTCTTCGAGGATCAATTGTGATATAGTTCCACAATCATTAAGGTGATCATAAAACATGATACTAAGGCATTCTCCTTTCGTATTAGATTA